GTTTACCTTCTATTCGTTTTATCTTACAATCTAACATAGCTCCATGTTTTCTATGTTCATTTTCCAATTCAAATGTGAATTTTATTCCCTCTTCTAGTGTGTCAAGAAGCTAGAGATATGTTCTGTTTTTAACACTGTGTGTGAAAGTGTCATCCACATATCCCCACCATATTTTTGGAGTAGGATTAAACGCATTAAGAGCATTACTTTCCCAGCTGTCCATAAATATGTCTGCTACGATAGGGGATATTGGTGATCCCATAGCTACACCTTCTGTTTGTTTATGTATTTTACCTTGGAATTTAAAGATATTAGATGTGAGGCATAACTGAATTCCTAACTGAATGTACATTATCTCGTATTGATTTTTATTCATATATCTAGTCAATTCCACACATGCATATAAATGAAGGAAAAAAGTTATGTGAGTGAGTCCCTAGATATAATTATGAGCAATAATTTGTGCTTGAAACGTGGTCATCAGTTAACTTTACTGTAAAACACTGTGATTTATATCAAAATAAAATCTTATCAATAATGGAGTTAAACCACTGGTTATGTATCTACAGTTTGAATAAAGCAAGAAGTACAGCTTTTGCAGAATAAAATGATACGATCATTGTATATTTCGTCAGCTTCTCATCTGCACACAGCCCAAAGACATTATTAAATATACCTACACAAACAGTTTTAACATACTTGCACAGAGTTCATTTTAAACAAAAATCAATCGATCAATATATATATATATATATATATATATATATATATATATATATGCCTAACCATCGCCTCCCCCGACGGGAATTACTAGCTGATATAGGTGCAGGTTGGAAAAGAGCCAGTGTGGCCAAACAAAAACATGGCCTCATCAATCCATGAAATCCTTGACAGTTAAACTGAGTCAGGTAGGTAGGGAGATTCAGACTCCCGGGTTGGGGCCCTCGGGACTCTAAGAATCAATGGCTGGAGACAATAGGTGACACATGGCTCAAAATCGTTGTCAATGGTGCAGATGTATTCAGTCTCTGTAATCTTTCATATTCCTTTCTACCATTACCCATTCTGTTTCACTCTTATACATGTCAGGCTGTATTGATTCTCTTCAGTCATCTTCTTGTCTACCTTTGTGTGCTATTTGGAACGTGGCAACTCGAACTGGTGCACTTCGGTGCCAAGTTCTATGTTGAATCCAGACAGACAGACAGATATATACATATATATAAAATTAAACACTTCTGAACAATAATAATCATACACAATGGAAACTTTTCATCATTTCGCATTCACATGAAAGAGAGATGAAAATATCCAGTTACCAGGCATGGCAAGGCAAGGAAAGACTGATAACCGCTTCTTTCTGGACGCATAAATCAGGTTTCAGGCGCTTGATGGTAATGGCTTCAGTAAACTTGAGGAGAATTGAACTTTTCCCTAATGGATAATTTTGAACGATTTTGTGACGTCCACACCTCATGACCCGCATATCAAGGAGATGGCTGGCGACGGCACTGTTTAAAAGCATTTGTTCCCCTTTAGACATAAGCTTTTTTGGTACACATTCAGAAAATCGTAGATATACCCTTCTTCTTTCTGTCCCTCCAAGTAAGTAAGAAGGAGGAAGGACTGCACTACTCGCCGATGCCTTTTCGTAATCTCCGCCTACGCCCCCACTGACTGCAGTTCAGATGAAACGAAGGATGAGTTCTACCAAAAGCTGTCTAGTTTGGTGAGAAAGGCTAAACGCTCAGACATAGTCGTTCTAGCTGGTGACTTTAACGCTCAAGTAGGGAAATTGTGTCAATCTGAGAAGGATGTCGGTGGCACCTATGGAGCTCCGTGCCAGCGAACCGACAACGGTGACCGTCTCCTACAGTTCTGCTCTGATAATCATTTGTTTCTTGTAAGCACTAACTTCAAACACAAGGAGAGACACTGTTTGACTTGGAGACCCCCTTCATCAAACCAACGCTGGACACAAATAGACCACATAGCAATAAGCTATCGTTGGCGTGGGTCGGTAGGAGATTGTCGCTCCTTCTGGAACACGTGCGTAGATACCGACCATGCACTGGTCCGCGCTCGGGTGTGCTTACGACTGAACGGACGTAGGAAACAGCTGGCGGTAAAACCATCACGTCCCCAGCTCGATCAGGAAACTAAATCCGTATTTCAGGAAGAACTAGCTAAACACATATCTGTGTTCGACAGCTGTGCTCACCCTGAAGAAGCTTGGAAAAATATCCAGGCAGCCATAGATACAGCTGTAAAAGCTGTGAATAAGGTAAACCCAAAGGTGAGTAAAAACCACTGGATCTCCACCGCCTCATCCGAACTGATAGATGCTAGAAGACTTATTCCGGCGAGCTCCGAATTCAATGAGGAGCGAAAGCTGCACAAGAGGAAACTTACGAAAAGTCTCCGCAAGGACCGTGAACAGTGGTGGGCGACAAAAGCCAAAGAGATGGAGAAAGCTTTGAGGATAGGCAACACCAGGCAACTCTTTGGACTCATCAGGGAAACGGGTGGGAGAAGACAAATCATTAGTGAGACAATCTCGGAAAAAAATGGCACTATAATTAGCTCCCAGGATAGACGACTGGATCGTTGGAAAGAGCATTATGAGGAGCAGTTTAATTTGCCCACAGCCACGCTCAACCTTCCGAGCATCCAACACCTCCCTGAATGGGATATAGATACAGGTCCTCCGTCACTAACTGAGGTTACTAAAGCTGTCACCAATCTGAAACTAGGCAAAGCAGCGGGACCTGATGGAATGACGCCAGAGGTATTTAAGTACGGTGGAGACAGCTTACTGTCCGGATTAACTGAGGTACTAGGCAGCGTCTGGGAATCAGAAGAAGTCCCATCGGGTTGGTGTAAGTCACTGATTATCCCCATATACAAGAAGGGAGACAAGTCTTCCTGTGATAATCACAGAGGGATTAGCTTGACTAATATAGTATCTAAAGTCTTAGGCTCAATAATCATGCGTAGACTGAGTGGTGCTCGGGAAGCACAAACACGAGAGAGCCAGGCAGGCTTTAGACCAGGAAGAGGGTGTATTGATCATATCTTCACCCTCCGACAGATTCTAGAACATAGGCATTCCTACCGGCGTCCAACAGTCATTATATTTCTTGACCTAAAGGCAGCATTCGACTCTGTCGATCGGGAAGTTCTCTGGAGATGCTTGGCTGTAAAGGGAATTCCAAGAAAATATATTGCACTGATTAAGGCACTCTACTCGTACTCATACAGCCAGGTGAGGGCTTACGGCGAGCTGTCATCTGAACTGATGACGACCAGTGGTGTCCGTCAAGGATGCCCATTATCTCCTTTTCTATTCAACTTCATCATAGATGTGTTAATGGACTTAACCCTAGGTGACTTCAGCGATTCAGGGATTGACTTGCTACCTGGGAATAATCTCGTTGACTTGGAATATGCAGACGATATAGTCCTTCTAGGCGAAGACGCTGACGAAATGCAGAGTCTTCTAAACACCTTGAACAGCAATCTACGAATGTTTGGCATGCGATTCGCTCCCGCCAAATGCAAGATGATGTTACAGGACTGGACTACATCGACGCCTAGTTTAAAAATAGGAAGTGAAGTGGTAGAGCACGTTGACCGCTTCACTTATTTGGGAAGTACCATCAGCCCCAACGGGCTGATCTCTGACGAAATCTCAGCACGAATACAAGGGGCTCGTTTCGCATTTGTTAGTTTACGCCGACTCTGGCGTAGACGAGATGTTCGACTATCGACCAAAGGGCGGGTGTACTGCTCATCAGTCCGCTCCGTCCTCCTTTATGGTTGTGAGACCTGGCCACTGAGAGTGGAAGACATGAAAAGACTAGCTGTCTTTGATCATAGGTGCCTGCGTTCTATTTCCCGTGTAAAGTGGCATAATAAGGTGAGCAACATGGAGGTTAGGCGTAGAGTTCTAGGTAAACAGGGGAAATCAATCGACGAAGTCGTGAAGCTACAAAGACTGAGATGGTTAGGACATGTGTTACGTATGCCAAGTCATCGCCTCCCTCGACGAGCTATGTTAGCGGATATAGGGTCAGGCTGGAAAAAAGCTAGCGGCGGTCAAACAAAAACTTGGCATCAGTCAATGAAATCCACAACAGTTGGTCTAAGCCACGTAGGAAGGTGTAGACTTCCAGGCTGGGGTCCTCGGGACGGTAAAAATCTATGGTTGGAAACAATTGGTGACATGGCTCAAAATCGTTCTCAGTGGCGCAGATGCATCCACTCCCTGTGACTTATGATCTTCAATGAAACTGTTTTGTATTTCTTTATTACTCCTTTGTCTCACACCTCTGCTCACTGTTTCTATTATGCTTTTCTTGTACTTTCTTCTCTTGCTTCGCGTGCTACACGGAATGTGGCGACTTGAACTTCCGCACATTTGTGCAAAGTTCTATGTCGAAAACAGACAGACAGTCCCTCCAATGGAACTGCTCTCGCAGATACATGTAAATTTGTATATACAGTTGCAGTTGTTAACATGAGAAGGATATCTATCGATTTTTGATTGCATCAAAGAGCAGTAGTTTATATTCGTCAACCAATCACTGAGTGTGTGATTTCGGTTTACATCAATCGACATGAAATACAATACATTGTTGCCAATGTAGTACTGAACTGTGGGAATAACATTCCGTTGGCACAAATTGTCTGTACCACACCACCACCACACTTCCACTCAGCTGCTCAGGTTTAAGTAGATAGATTAGGATTCGAACCTAGGATCTAAGGGTTAAAAATCGATAACCACCAAGTTATTATACTTCGTATTCGATGGTACAGAGCCACACACCCACCCACACATCTATTAAGTTACAGCTAGTAATGCTACCTGGCAAATTACACCACGATAAGCTGAGGGAGGCAGAGGGACTCGAACCCAGCTATCTAAAACACACCAATATAGTCACAAATAAACACACACATTAAAATTGAAGAAAACTAAACAAGAAATGACTCACCTCTAAACTGTTAATTCCTTGTTTAGTGATTAACTGACAATCATATAAATCAAGTTGTTTTAATTTTCGACAATTACTGCCTAAATGCTCCAAAGCAGCATCAGTGAGTAGAGGACAATTATCCATAGCCAGGGTTTGTAATTGATCAGAACCACAGAGACCTTCAGCTAGTCGAGCAATACCTTCATCTGTGACTTGATCACAATGGGATAAGACAAGTGTATTCAGCCGGGGACAATGAACAGCTAACTGGGCTAACGTGGAATCGGTGACTAATGCACAATCTTCTAGGTCTAACTTCTCTAGCTATTTTGGGATAAAAAAAAAATAACGGAAGAAAAGTAAAATTTATAAGATAGAAAAAAATCAATTCATACATACTTACACATATTTTGCAATAAATTTGCTTTCAAAAGTCAAAATTGCCTGCCTCTCTCCTTCAAAGTATGAATTATTATTCACCCCACTGCTGATCAATGCTGAAATTCAAAGCACTTCTTCCAACAGCTTCCATCTTCCCCACCCCCTCCCTATTTCGATACTGAAGATCAGATGACCGGCTTGTCGACCAACCGATCGGAAAGAATAAGCAATGAACACCGAACTACTCTAAGTTGTGCAGCGAAGCAACCAACAGCTTGTTGGTTGGTCAACAGTCAGGTAGAACAAATTGGAGATGGATGTCAACATAGGCTGTGAGAAGGTATTCATCAAATGACATCTCACACGCCAAGCCTTCAAAAGTAGAACTCAAGTCGAAGTTGGAGGTGGTTGTTCCGAGGGTGAAAAAGAGGAGATGAAAGCTTGTGGGCAGTCTAGGGACCAGTTGGAAATGTCTGCACAGGTGTGTGTGTGTGAGTGGGAAAAAAATGCGCCGCTAAAGTTGTGAATTATTCAACTCGGGACTTTTGACTTAGAACTTCTGAAAGGAGGAACCAGAGTTTTACAAGAATTTCACAGCCCCAGAGATGACAGCGAATTATAACCTTTCCACTCGTTCGTGTGTATAATTGACCTTCATTTAACAAGTCTCGTTATAATAGGTATTAAAGTAGTTGCTTTTCTGTTAGCTATCCGTTCGACGAATCCCCTTCGGAAGGAGGTGTCGTATAAGCCTAATACCCAAATGTTGTTTGCTCGCTGGCGACCACGGTTGTATTTCTTTTTCACCAAGACAGTTTCATCGACATGCACGACAACGTCTTCTCCACCCAGCGAAGAAGTGATTTTCTCTATTTTCCACGAAGCAATATATCTGCAATGCTGGTACCACTGAACTGTTGAGACGAGGCTATTCTCCGTCTCGGAAGCTGCTGCTCTCACCCAGTAGTTGCAGATATACAAAATCTCGGTTAGGGAGAGATGCGACCTAGCGAAAAAAGTTCCTACGAAATATTAAAATTATCAGCTCACCCTCTCTAATGCTAGCACGCTTCAAACATATAGCACAATGATGAACAAATCCATCAGTTGATCTGCTATAGCTTTTTAAAGTCATGATACCACCACACGAACAAGTTCGCCCCTTTCAAAGCAACCCTAAATCCACGCAATACTGGAAAACACCGTCCTCCTCGAATTGCATCCGTAACCTTGTAAGGTCACGCATTAGAAATGAATCAAGGGCTACACAACATTGAACTACGTTCGTGAATCTCATTGGATAATTCGACGTCGTTCGGTGATTGGTAGTTAGTGGTATCGAAAGTTTAACTTGGCCCTTCCCTCTTTACCACCGAGCTTGCTAGCGGCTAAGTGAGTTTTAAGAGTCGGCGTCGACCGAGGACCGAACCGCAGACCAAATACGTCGTTGGCGAGCTTTCTACCGCTGCACCACCCACGATGACGACGACGACCAGGCCTTAGTTTGTTTTCTTGTTTCTTCCTGGAGAATGCTAAAAACGACGCTATGCAATATAATGCATTAGAAGTAATAATTTAGGTAAATTTTGCTTCTTGCATCTGTTGATTGTTTGCAACCGAAACGAACAGTCTTCGTTAACACATGTCAGCTGTTTTATATCACGGACGCTTCAACAACGTCTGTGGATTAATATTCATGTTATTTGCTGGATTGTGACCGACTAGCAGTGGAAGTGAGTGGATGAGCAGTTCATTTTAATTTGGGAATCATTGTCAGTATACGACCTGAATAACTAAACCAAAAATCACTGTTTATAGTGTATAACAAAAGCGGTCTAGTGGATAACACTTTGGCTTTGGTTTTTGAAACTACGGACACTGGGTTCGAGCCACGGTTGGAACACCATCACTCACTGGGGAATACAGGTACATTCAGTTGATGAGTTCCACATAGGACGAAATGCGCACATCAAGCTGGATTCGACTGCTAGTCACCATCCTCCTCTAATTGACTTCAAGTTACATGACAAGTGGATGCGTACTGCAGAAGAGTCCCAAACTAGAATGAAACAACTGTCCAGTGCTCCCAGGTTCTCTAACTGATGTCAGCTCATAATGAAACCCTCCATTCAATCATAATCATATCATCAGTTGTAAGTGAACAACTTCGAGACTTGATTTTTTTCATAGTTCTCTATTTCTTTCTTCCTCTTCATCGCAGGGCTGGTAAAATCTTTCAAATGTTCGGCTACACAGATGTTGAATCATTCCTATTGCATGTTTTCTCAGTTGATTCGATAAATAAAGTCTCCATTATTATCAATCTCTTCCTTGATTTTATTACATAAGATCTTAAGACTTTTATTTCGTCCCACATCCTCTGGTATGGTTGTGTGTGTGTGTGTGTGTGTTTGTGTTACCGCATGTGGTGCTGAGCCATTTCGTGAGTAGCTCAGACATGGTATTCACAGCAGATTTTTTTGAAGAAAGGTTGTGATCAGTGAAATCCACTAAATCCGATCCTCTAACACCTACTTATTGCTGATGACGGTGCACTGTACTGTAGTACCTCATAATGTTGAAAACAGGCCATTAGCTCCCCGGATGCTGAGTGAATAGCTGCATTGCAAGAACTATTTACTTATTTATTTAAGCGCAGAAAAAACTTTCTACAATATCGCACCAAGAAAGATGCGCCACATAATAATAATAAAACAACATAGATCAAAGGTAAAAAATATATGTAGAGAACGGATAAAGAACTTCATCTGGAAGGAAAACAGTCATGCTTAACAAGTTCAAACAGTATTCGTTAACTATCATCGGGAAGGGAAGAAAGAAGGAAATTGCAACACGTTCCCCATTGATTACGATACTTCGCCATATCCGATAACGTTTCGAGCCATCGATTCGAGCTATCTAGCGGACCCTAACCATGGAGTCGTGACACACCAACCGACGCTAATCTAGCACACACACATCCTTCATCCCACGACGCCACGTCATGGACTGACCACCCCTCCGCCTTTTCTATCCCGTCCAAGGGCTGGCTAGAGAACACAGACCTGTACGCAAGCCTCTGAGATGACATTCGGAGCACACCGGAGCCAGCGTTTCCAGATGACCACACTCAATGAATGGTGATCTCCACTGTTTTCAAACACACGCCGCCAAACCTTAGAATTACTCACGCGATGATGCCATCCACCGAACGCAAGCAATCCTGCGGAGACAGCGATCATTGAACACGCAGAGTCGCCGAACATCCTCAGCCTACTCGGAGAGGCAAGGTTTCACAGGCGTAGAGCAAGATAGCCAACACCGAAGCATTGTATACACGACCTTTGACAGCCAGGCTAACGTCGCGACGGCGCCATAGGTGGCTGAAGTTGATGCATGCCACTCTAGACTTCATTATACGGTTGGAAATCTCATCCGTCACCCCTCAGACAGTACTCCCACAACTACTCAGATACACAAACTTATCAACAACTTCAAGCGATTCACCCACTAGAGTCAGTGCAGGTACAGGCTCCTGCCAATCTTGTAACAATACTTTGCATTTAGACGGCGCAAAGTAAACACCATACTTACAGACACTGATCACCAACTGATTAAGTACGAATTGGGCAGCCTGCATGCTATCGCACAGTAAGACGATATCGTCTGCATACTCAAAGTCGAAAAGTTTATCACTAGGTAGCAGATCTACACTACCTTCACGCACATCCTTCAAAGCTGACTCTAGAATGTAATCGTTGGCAAAGTTAAAGAGAAATGGAGAGATTAGGCAACCTTGTCTAACCCCACTGTTGGTTGGGAACAGTGATGATAGTTGGTTATTGCAAGAACTGATGATCTTAGATTGTGAAGCTTTTGTTGTTGTTGATGATTTCCAACTCTCCTCTCTGGTTGATTGCAAAGAAATCAAACAAACCAATTAAAATTATTGTAGTAACTGACTACAGGATGAGGTCACACTTGAAGCTAGCTCCTAATGGAAAATCGTAACCAACAGGATGATCCATCAAGTTGATCGTGAGGACAGATGCCTATCGATGGCACTGGCCTAGTTGTCACGCTAAAATATCACGAATTGACGAAAAACTAGAAGTCAGCTGATCATTGGATTCTCAATGGTCAACGAGCTCGTCTTGTAACCTGAAGGGTACAGATTTGGTCCCCCAGGAGGAGTGTCATAGTTGCGTACCGATGATGAAGAGTCAAAACAGAGCTGAAAACAGCTGTCTGGTAGGTACACCAACACCCGAAAAATTACCTTATTTTAAAGAGAATGGATACTGAACAAAGAGTACTCTCTTCGTCAGGCTCTACAGTTATATACCCATCCATTATAGTGAATGAATGAATGAATTAATGTTATGAGCGACTTTAATGTTGCTGTTTGAATAAAATCGAATCAATTATATTGATAGATCACAGCTCAATAGCATCTACATGAAATAAGCTGAATGTCAGAAAGGCAAATTAGGAAAGATAATTACACGAATTCATGAATTTCTAGTCTCTACTGAAGGCCAGAGCAGTAGTAGTGACTGGACTTGCTTCTTTTGAACACAGAACACTGGTTGTTTCACGCGAATTCCAATAGCCTCTGCTGTTTGGAGCATGCAGTGCTTCGATGTTTTTGGAAATTTACCAGGCACCCGGTAGATTAATGAGAAGGATTCTCACTATCTGTAAACAAAAAGCCGCTTAATATACGACTATAATTCAAGGGCGATATACCAAGTGAGATAATTACGAAGAAATTAAGCACATCAGTTCAAAGAACTTTTAATGCTGGCGAACTACACGTATTATTTTCCACACGACCGATGGGGATTCCTCGACTGAAAGATGAAGTACCTAGACAAGCCAATTCAAATTGTATCTACGAATCCAGCTGCGCTTGTGCTGGAGCGAGTTATATTGGCGACTTGAACTTCCGCACATTTGTGCAAAGTTCTATGTCGAAAACAGACAGACAGACAGATTGCTGTAGGAACTTGATTTTTCGTGCTCACTCGAGAACATCTCCCACTAGGGCTAAAGTAAAGGTGTAGTTAAAACCATCAACAGTTCAATATTCAACCATCTGGTGCAAACCGACCGGCCACAAAGCCAGCCAGAGTGGAAGAATCCTTTTCTCTATCATCATCTACCGGGTGCCTAATAAATTTCCAAAATCATCATCGAAGCACCACATGGCTCTGAAACATGGCCAATACGCGTTGAAGACATGATAAGGTTGACTGCTTTCGATCATAGATGTCTGCGATCCCTGTCTCACGTTAGGTGGTTTAATAAGGTAAGTAATGTTGACGTTAGGCGTAGAGTGTTGGGCAAAGAGGGAAAATCAATCGACGAGGATATAAAGTTACATAGACTAAGATGGCTAGGTCACGTGCTGCGCATGCCTAACCACCGCCTCCCCCGACGACGGGCATTACTAGCTGATATAGGTGCAGGTTGGAAAAGAGCCAGTGGTGGCCAAACAAAAACATGGCCTCATCAATCCATGAAATCCTTGACAGTTAAACTGAGTCAGTCAGGTAGGGAGATGCAGACTCCTGGGTTGGGGCCCTCGGGACTCTAGGAATCAATGGCTGGAGACTATAGGTGACATGGCTCAAAATCGTTGTCAATGGCCAGCGCAGATGTATTCAGTCTCTGTAATCTTTCATATTTCTTTCTACCATTACCCATTCTGTTTCACTCTTATACTTGTCAAACTCTATTGATTCTCTTCACTCATCTTCTTGTCTACCTCTGTGTGCTATTTGGAACGTGGCAACTCGAACTGGTGCACTTCGGTGCCAAGTTCTATGTTGAATCCAGACAGACAGAGGTTATTGCAATTCGCCTCAAACAACCAACCAGTGCTCTGTGTTCAAAAGAACCGAGTCTAGCTAGCCACTACTAACTGCCCTGGCCAGAGTTCAGTAGAGACTATAAATTCATGAATTTGTACTATTATCTTTCCTAATTTGCCTTTCTGACATTCAGCTTATTTCATGTAGATGCTATTGAGCTGTGATCTATCAATATAATTGATTCGATTTTATTCAAACAGCAACATTAAAGTCGCTCATAACATTAATTCATTCATTCATTCACTATAATGGATGGGTATATAACTGTAGAGCCTGACGAAGAGCAGGTTATCGAAAAGAGTACTTATTGTTCAGTATCCATTTTTTTAAAAATTACTCCATTCACAAGATTATCTGCAAGCAATCAAAATTTTTAACCTTTACAGAAAAATAAAATAATAACTCACTTTATTGCATACTCGAGCGATAGCAGACAGTCCAATATCTGTAATAGCTGAGCATCGAGCAACTTCTAGTGTGGTTAAATGAACACAACCAACAGGGACTAGCGGTGTTTTGCTGGCATCATTAGTTTTTTGACGTCTGTTTACATTGGTGGGCATTCGATCGCCTTGATTCTCCTCAGTATTATTATTATTAGCCGAGGAATCTTGATGATGACCGACAACATTTCCATTACTTGTTACTGCTGGTACAGGAAGAATTAATGGGATACCATTTTGTTGACTAGCAGATGATGCCTGTCCAACAATAGCAGCCGCGGCAGCGGGGGAGAGTGTACCGGCTATTGCCCGAAGACCTTGATCAGTTATTGAACAATGGGAGATAGCTAGGACACGTAAATCGGGACAACCGACAGAAAGGTGAACCATTGCTTCATCTGTGACACCCTGTTAAAAATGAAAGTGTTTAAAATGAAAGCGATTATAGGTAGAAAATAGACGGTATACAAGAAATCTAAAGCTTGATTGTTACACAGCGCATGCCAAGCCACTAACCTTCCTGAAAGAGCAATGGTTAGCTGACATAGTGTGAGGTTGGAAGAGTTAGGTGAGGTGGTCAGATTAAAACTTGTCATCGGTCAATGAAGTCTTCGACAGTTGGTTTGAGCCAGTCATGTAGAGAGATGTAGACTGTCTGGTTTGGGGGCCACCTCCGAATTCTAACGACCATCAGTGGTACGGGGCTCAGAATTGTTCTTATTGAGGTGGATGCATTACACCATTTCCCTTAGATGTCTTTCCTCTCTACCTGTATACACTAAATAAAGTGTGGCAACTTCAACTGGTGCACTTCTATGAAAAGATCTCTACAGAGTGTGTAATTCAGTCAGTCAATCATCTGTTGTTAGAGATATGATAATCTGCTATAACTATACCCGCCAGCAGGCAGGATGCTCCTAGAGAGAAGACAACAAGCAAGTTCAGTTGTCTAATATCCCGATGGATAATGGCCGTGTGATTTGAAAAACTGCAACAAAATGACAAAAGAACTCAATGCCTTTTCAGTGGCGCATTCTGTTAATTCTGATTATGTGAATACATAAGTGTGTGGTGAGAGCTGGCTGCTAACCGAATTGGTCGACAGTAATTTACGTCAATGTTTATTTCCCAAATATAGGTCGTGAGAAAAATGAGAAAAAAGACTTGCATGGGTGGATACATTTAGCAGATAGGTGGTCTGACATTCAAGAAAGAGCCACAAAGAGATGAAAGATTAACTTTCAGTGAGAAACAACCAATCAGAAGACTGTGTTTTTCTGCTAACAATAATCTATAATAATGTACATGAAAATCTATAAATATGTGTTGATTTCCTTAATAAACGATCTGTTGCATGGCCCTTGCCTTCTGTTGTTACACTTCTTTATAGTTCACAGAATTGACGGATTACAAGAACCTGTAGACTTTTTATCAACAGCTGACCATTTCGCTGACTCCATACTGAAAACCAGATAGCCAACCAGAAAGGATAAGCATCAATGAATTGTGACAACCAACCAAGAATCTATCTATCGGGAATTATGCAGAAAGAAGTGGAGATGAGCTGGACATACACGTTGAGAAGATCGCTGAGTGGCACATCAGGTGTGATGCAGACCTTCGAGAGTAGAACTCGAATGGGAAACGACGAGTTGTGTACATGTCCGACGGCGATATGGAGGAGAATGTGTTCATCAGAAAGTAAAAGTCAAACATACGGACGACCTGACCGTATCTTTGCCTGCCAAATGCCAAAGTGACCGTCCTAAACTAAATGGCTTTTTATCAGAAATCACCCAGTGGTTCTTACCTTAAACCCCTCCAAACGCCAAACAGTCAATTTCACTTTAGGCATAAATCAAACCTAAACAAACTGGTTAGTACTCACGAGGTGTGCAACAAAGATGACACTGAAATTGAAACCAAGTCGGAAATTAGATATCTTGGCGTCATTCTATCTGCTCATCTTTCCTGGTTGTTTCATATCTTGATGATTTCTAAGAACATATTCCGTCTTACCTTCTACATCAAGAAGTTAAGACATTCTGGAATAACCCAACCCTTACTCTTACGATTCCTTAACTCTTGCATCCTGCCTATTATTCTCTATAGTTCCCCCTTAGTTTTTCCAGGGCTACTGAAAGAAGGATTACATCTTATTACGTAGGGTGTTAAAGGTTGTCAGCAGGGTAAGCAATGTGCCATTTAACCAGCTTGTTAATATTCTGGTCGACAGGCACTTGAACTCATGTGAAAAATGGGCTAGATCAAGGCATTATATTTAACTCACACCACCCTCTTCATTCACGACTCTCCCTTTGTATCTCATCGGGCAGGCAGACCAGAAGCCTATATAGAAAACTACAGGCTCGCACTAGTAAGTACAAAAACCCAACTCAACCATACCCTACTTAACTCGTGTTCTGTGCGATAAAGAAAGCATTAGGCGTGAAACTTATAACCTATTAAATGGTAGGTAGAACAACTGGATCTCGTCTTTCCAATTCATATCATTCATAGGTACAACGTTTCTCTTCCTTTTCTGTATATCTCGACCTTTTTGTTAAGGACTACGCCAGTAAATATGCCAGTATCTACTTTTCTAACACCATCAAACACTGTTCAATTTTTGGCTTTTCTATCAATATGCTAATATGTTGTTGTCATAATGAACTGAAATCATCCTTAATCTATATAGAATTTTTATTTATTGGTAATGTACAAACTGGATGCAATATACTGTAGTGAAATGCTGAGAATTCCATTCTGTATCATAAGTACTGTTCTGGAATAAAGCAAAGTATTATTATTATTAGAAAAAACTTATGGGCAATCGTGGAACAAGCTAAGAAGACTGCGGAGAAAATGGGGTAAAAATGGAGATGTGCTTCTGATACTACTCATTATTCCACTCGAAACCTAAGGAAAATGATGATACACACTGAGAATTCTGCATCACGTATCAAGACATCTATTTGCAGAATTAAGCTTATTAATACTGTTGTTATTCAATGTATCATTTGAAATCTGGTGAATACACATTTTTAAGAAAAAAATCATACCTGTCCACAGTAATTTAAATTTAACAGCAATAGGCCATGACAATGACGTGCTAACTGTTCCACACCACGACTAGTTATCTCTTGACAGCCTATAGCACGGAAACGTTGTAAACCTTTACAGCCTCGAGCGATAGCAGTTAATCCACGATCGCCAACACTACACCAGGATACATCCAAGCATGTTAGATTTGTACACCAGCTAAAAAGGGATAATAAAAAAAAAATTTTTTAATTGCAGCATTTATTTATATTTAAGCACAAAAATGATGATAATGCCAATGTGAGACCAAATTGAAACAGGCGTTGAACGGGCGCAGCTCTCTTTACCATTTTCTTCGCTTTCGGAGTGTTACACAAGACTTCAAGTTTGACGAAATGTCTGAAAAAATCTCACTACGGATAAGGAGGGCTAGTTTCGCATATGCCAGTTCACGCCGTATCTTGCCAAGTAGACGTGATATCCGGCTATCGGCCAAAGGGTGGGTGTACTGCTCACCAGTCCGCTCTGTCCTCCTTCATGGCTGGCTGTGAGACCTGGCCGTTGAGAGTGGAAGACATGAAAAGCCTAGCTGTCTTTGATCATAGGTGCCTGCGCTCTATCTCCCATGTGAAGTGGTAGGTGTAATAGGGTGAGCAATATTGAGGTTAGGCGTCGGTAGAGTGCCAGGTAGATAGGTGGGAGGGGAAATCAATCGACGAGGCTGTGAAGCAGTTACATCGACTGAGATAGTTAGGACATGTGTTACGTATGCCTAGCCTAGTCATCGCCTTCCTCGACAACAGGAAATGTTGGCTGACTGGTATTCGGTCAGGATGGAAAAGAGCTAGCACATGGTGGTCAAACCAAAACATGGCCTCATCAGCCAATCAAATCCACAACAGTTAGTTTAAGTCACGTAGGAAGGTGTAGACTTCCTGACTGACTGGTTGGGGTCCGCGAGACGGTAAAAACCAATGAAGGCCGGAAGCAATTGGTGATATGGCTCAAAGTGATCGTTCTCAATGGCTGGCTGGCTGGCTGGTGCAGATGCATCCACTCCTTGTGACTTATGATTTCCAATGAAACAAACTATATTGTTCTTGGTTATTATTATTCCTTTTGTCTCACACCTCTGTTTACTGTCTCTGTTATGCATTTATTCTACTTTCTCCTCTTGCTTTGTGTGTTACATGGAGTGCAGTGTGGTGACTCGAACTGCCGCATGTATGTGCAAAGTTCTATGTCGAAAACAGACAGACAGACACTTCAAGTTTGAACTTTAAAGTTTCAGTAGCAATTATGTTTGCTAGGCCTCTTGTCCAACTATCTGTGCGCGTGGTTGGCACAGCAGTAGAATGCTCACCAACAACGCCTCATCTGGTTCGGGGTTCGATCCCCAGTAGACGCACTCACTCCCTTATCTAGCCAAGCCAATAATAAAAAGGCTGGTAAAGAGGAAAGGTTGGACATGAGGCTGGCTAGCAACCCCATCCCGTAAATACAAACACCACTGCTACCGAAACTTCAAGTTAGAGAAGCTTGAAGCGCTATGTTCTACCGGTAACGTAAACGAATATAACAACAAAGTGAGGTTTAAGAGTGTGTATGGAGTCTGGACTGCATTTTTCATTGCCAAGCATCCCTACTATTGAACCACTGATAATACAAAGGCTTAAAACAATTAAGCATTACTTATTAACCTAGTATTCTTGATAATTTACGTGAAATTGACGGCCTCGTTAACATTTGTACCTTGTAGAGTACATGTGACAGAGAGTGGTTTAGCAGACTGTAACAGAGAAGCAAGATGAGGAAGTTGGTGTGGGTAAAGGGGAATGATGCTCAGGAAGGCTTCGTGTACTTTTGGAAGTGTGTGGGCGGTTGTTACTTCCCGGCTCCCCACATCACTGTGGAAGTTGATTGATTCTTCGGGTACCTGAAACAGAAAAAGGGTTAGTGTTGCGTGACCGGAGAGCCCAGGGGACAACTGCTTGAGGCCGGCCGGCCGGTCAAACACGGTCTGTATGAACTGGTTTCTTGGTTTGGTTCCGTATTAGTCAACTTACCGCCGGTTACGGACCACCGTAGGGATATACGATTGTTGGGGTCGACCTTTTCTAACCCTTCTCTCCAGCAGAGTGGAGAGACAGCATACCTGGCTGGCATGCTGGTCATCTTTATTTTATTTTTTTGTTTTTTTATTATAGCTTGATTCCACACCGTATTTTTTGGTTTAGGTATGGAATTTTCAGTATGTGATATCGGTAGCCCAAATTTCGCAGGCCGACCATAGATATCAGGTGTGTGCCGGCAGAGGATCGAACCCCGCACCATGTACATGATCAGCGAGAGTCCTAACCACTGTGCCACCAATGCACCTCACTGCTGTTACACTCCTGTTCCCCAGCAGTACGATTTCGCCCTCAGACCCCCAGCATAGTGTAAGAAAGATTCTTACACAATGGCGCTAACTGCTTTTAGTCTAATCGCTATCGTGACAACCTTCCTGGCATGGTAGGACCTGCAGGAACATATGTTCCAGCCAGTGTAGCTTGTTGGGTCATCGCGATGTGCAAGCCTGGAGACCACCACTTCAAGGTTTAGCAGACAGTAATCACAAAGCCAGTGGTTTTGAATCATTTAGCGATCGATGACTGACTGGTTTCAACGTAAACCAATGTGCAGCAATTCAAGTCACCATACTTCACTCAGCACACAAAGCAAGAGAAGAAAGTAAAAAGAAATGCAAAAAATGAGATGAGGCGAAAAGAATAGTAATATGGAAGGACCCCACATAGTTTTATTAGATATTACAAGTTGCAAGGATGCACTTGCGCCATCACTGAGAACGATTCTGAGCCACCGGTAGTTGAAAAGCGACTGATTGAGCATCGAAACAGAACTTTATACAAAACTTCACCAGCTTAAATTGTCGCATTTAACGTAGCACACAAAGGCAGGTAATATAGGGAAAAAAGAAAGAAATTGGAGGGAACTATAATGAACAGAAATGTAAGGGAAAATGAATAGTGACATGAAAAACCGTGGCAGTTGAACGGATATAAGAGATCACAAAGAGTGAATGAATCTCTGTCAGCGAGAGATTTCGAAACATATCACCAACAGTTTCCATTCATTCGTCCCTAGAATCACGAAGACTCCAATCCCATCAGGTAGTTTACACCTCCCTGTATGGCTAGTTCAAACTACCCGACCGATAGTTGCTACCTAGACGTGGTGGTCAGGCTCGCACATCGCGATGACCCAACAGGCTACACTGGCTAAAACCAATGTTCCTCCTTCAGGTCCTACCATGCCAGGAAGGTTGTCACGATAGAGATTAGACTAAAAGCAGTTAGCGCCATTGTGTAAGAATCTTTCTTACACTATGCTGGGGGTCTGAGGGCGAAATCGTACTGCTGGGGAACAGGAGTGTAACAGCAGTGAGGTGCATTGGTGGCACAGTGGTTAGGACTCTCGCTGATCATGCACATGGTGCGGGGTTCGATCCTCTGCCGGCACACACCTGATATCTATGGTCGGCCTGCGAAATTTGGGCTACCGATATCACATACTGAAAATTCCATACCTAAACCAAAAAATACGGTGTGGAATCAAGCTATAATAAAAAACAAAAAAATAAAATAAAGATGACCAGCATGCCAGCCAGGTATGCTGTCTCTCCACTCTGCTGGAGAGAAGGGTTAGAAAAGGTCGACCCCAACAATCCTATATCCCTACGGTGGTCCGTAACCGGCGGTAAGTTGACTAATACGGAACCAAACCAAGAAACCAGTTCATACAGACCGTGTTTGACCGGCCGGCCGGCCTCAAGCAGTTGTCCCTTGGGCTCTGCGGTCACGCAACACTAACCCTTTTTCTGTTTCAGGTACCCGAAGAATCAATCAACTTCCACAGTGATGTGGGGAGCCGGGAAGTAACAACCGCCCACACACTTCCAAAAGCACACGAAGCCTTCCTGAGCATCATTCCCCTTTACCCACACCAACTTCCTCATCTTGCTTCTCTACGACAGTTAGTAATATTCTTCAGGCTAGTGAGTCATCTTCACTGGCTCAAACTAAATGTCATGATTTGACCACAAACATAATTAGTTTCCAACCCAACATTATTTCAGCTAGCATTGCTTGTCGAGGAAGGGGCAGTGGTTCGGCGTGAGCAACATGCATCCTAGTCATCTTAATCGATATAGCTTCCCAACCTTATCCAGTTTACTTCACTTCCATACTTAGTGCCCTACTTATAACCTAAATACTACTCATCATACTATACCTAGTAACACGAGAGATAGAGTGTGAACATCTGTAGTCAAAGATTTTAGCCTTTTCGTATCTTTCACTCTCAAATGTTAATGCCTCAACAGTCATACAAAAGGAGAGAACGAGGTGCTGCACAGGACATATATTCTTTGACTGATAGCTGGATAGACCATGTTTACACTAGGGACGACGACGTAAGTTGAAAAATGCCACACGACACTTCCATATCCATGTTGGGATTTCGTCACCAATCAGTCCGTTGGGGCTGATGCCACACCTCCCAAATAAGTGAAATGGTCAACACGCTCCTCCAACTGCTGCTTCACTCCCTATTTTTAAGCTAGTTCTGTAGCATCATTTTACACATTTGACAGCACGAACGAATTGCATGATAAACACATTGAAAGATTGTTGCTCAGTGTGCTGCAGAGAAGAAGACTCTGAATCACCATATTCTAAGTCAACAAGACTATTCCCTAGTAACAGGCCAGTCCCCAGGTCACTAAAAGCAGTTAAGGGTCAATCCCATTATTTCATCTGTGCTAAAATCAAACGGAAATGATAACTGTGAACATCTCTAACGTATAACACTGGCTGTCATCACTTTCAATGACAATTCTCCATAAGCTGAACACACGGATGCATCAATTCGAGGTAGACTGCCTTGATTAGTGCGATATATTTCTCGACTCTGCTGTCTTCACAGTTTAACATTACCACAGGACCTCTCGTTACTGACCAGTGCATGGTCACACTACTTAAAAAATTCTCAGAAAATAAACTGCAACCATTTACTAGAGTTTCACAACACTACAGACAGACACGGCATGTCGAAGACGACTTCTATTCAGTGCTATCACGAGATGATAACACTTTCTTACATGAGTGACAGAGCGAGTATGCATATTCGTCATTTCAAATTACTGATGTACATGGGATATAGAATCCGAATATATACGAACCTACTTCGGTAACCTAGAAGTGATGCAAACACAGCTGTTGAGGTTGCTCAGATTGCTTCGCTACTACGGGGTGCCACCTAAAATTATACATTTCATCCAACAGTTGTACGACAATGCTGCATTCCAAGTAATCCACAATGGGAAACTTACGGAAGCCTTCGAAGTGAGGACGGGAGTAAGACAAGCTGACTGCCTGCCTAATATCGCCAATGATTTTCCTAATTGCAGTAGATTGGATAATGCGAAAGACAGTGGGCAATGAGGAAACAGGCATAAAATGGGCTCACACAAAAACTTGAAGGATCTGGACTTCGCCGATGATATATGTCTGATTTCCCACAAACTAGAAGATATGCAAGTGAAAAGCAACAAGTTGGCAGAAGAAGCATCCAGAGATGATAGGACTTCAGGTGAACATAGAAAAAACAGAGGTGATGAAGATTCCTGGGCAACACCAACAGCAACAACAACAACAGACAACAATAAGCCAGCATGAATGGGAGGAACCTGAAAGAAACAACCTCCTTTACAAACCTAATAAGGATCGTTTCAACTACAGGCGGAACTGACGAGGATATCAAAGCCAGAATAGGAAAAACAAGACAAATCTTCATTACTGTGAAGTCTGTGTGGAGGCCAACAGCACTACTCAGCATGAAGATGAAAATGAGATCCGGATTTTCAACTCCAATGTGAAGTCAGTGGTACTCACTATGCGGATGGATCAGAGACTTGGCGCGTCATAAAGAGCATCTCAAACAAACTACACACCTTCATTAACAGCTGTCTTCACTAAATACTCAAGGTCAGATGGCCAGTCAGAAAAGATCCGAAACAGGGATCTCTGGAAATGAGCGAACCAACCCAGCAGGAACCGATTGTGCAACAAATATGCAGGAAGAAATGGAGATTGATTGGCCATACTCTGAGGAAACAAACCATCAGGTGAGTGACATCACTGGAGAAGCCATCGCTCGAGTAGAACCCTATTGAATGCGAAGCGGCGAGTTGGTCGTCAGTGCGAGGGTGACTTGGAGTGGAGGAGGTCATGTGAAGAGGAGGTGAAAGCATGTGGGCAGACCTGGAGCCAGGTGAAAACTCTAGCAGAGAACCGAACACAATGGAGACGCGCGGCTGAAGCCTTATGTTCCTCTAGGAATTAAAGGAAATAATAATAAGTTGGCCTATAGATCAGATATCAATCCAAGGCAGGAAATTTTCTTTACCAAGGAATTCATCTTCAATCCTATCTATACTTACTAAAATGACGTAACAGTTAGGCAGTTAGTTACCTGGGGTTCTAGTGGGAAGCCATGACCAGAAGGGTACAGCCGGTTGAAGGTGAGCACAGCTACTCATCGAAGAAGACACTGCGAAGTAATCACGCTAGGTCACGCATGAGTTAGCAGAAGTTAGAATTCATGAGCCATTGGATAGGGTCTCAGTGGCTTAATGGTATACGACCTCGCTAATCTTGTAACCAGAAAGTCATGGGTTCAAACCCCAGTGGGGTGTGGGTGCGTACTGTGAAAAGTCCCAAACTAGTGGGACGAAACAGCTGTCCAGTACTGCCTGCAGGCTTTCCAATGGTTTTCGAATTGATGTCACACCATGATGAAATCCTCCAACCAAATATGGAGATGTAACAATTAATAAGACTACTTAGAAGTGGTTTCTACAGATAGAAAATTACGTAATAATTGCCAACGCAATGGAAGTAAGTGTTTGGAATTTGGTGAGATGAGGTGTTATTAAGTAAGAAGCAGGGCAGCTGAATACCTAGTTGACAAGTGTGAGGGTAGGAAGAAAACGTCAGCAAGACACACAAAAAGAAAATGCAAGTGACAACAGTGGATCACTTACTAAAAATAGCAACACACAAGTAGAAAGTTTAAGACCACTGCATAATAATGAACCAAAAAACCTTCCCCTCCTTACCTAGCACTCGACACCTGACCTGAATATTGTTCACTTTATTATACCACTTCACACGGGAGATAGAGCGCAGGCACCTATGATCAAAGACAACTAAACTTTTCATATCTTCCATATGCCAACAAAAATATCATCAGTCAATGAGGTCTTTGACAGTTTATTTGAACCACATAGGAAGGTGTAGAGTGTCAAGCTGAGATCATAGGGACGCTAAGAATCAACGGCTACAGTCTGTTAGTGACAGATCAAAATCGTCCTCAAAAGTGCTAAGGCATGCATTCCTCCTGATCTCCCAGATTTCCTAAGTTCTTAATATTCTCCATGTAACTATTCTTTCCCCCGTACACTTCCATTTATTATAGTTCCCTAACTTTGTGTGCTATGCAAATTATGGAAAATTGAATTACTGCACCTTTGTGAGAAGTTCGGTGTTGAAAACACAGGCATTCACTGCTTGCAACTCTAGATTTTATGCGACATGTGAAGCCATAAAAATAACAGGCGCCAGATATACCCAGTCGAACCATTAACCAGTTGTATTATGGGCTCCGACATCTGAAAAATCGACTTGATACACAAAAAATGAGGTTGCGGATACAAAGTGCCCAGATGATACCTAAGGTATGCTACGTGGAAGCGATTAAAATATGAACATAGTTTCAAAATGACCTAACTAAAATGTGTGTTCGAGATGAGGTTTGTCTTTTGCCAGACTAGCTAGTGCCAACATCCTAATTGGTTGAAGGGAATGTCTTGATGAGACAGGTTACTTATCTGGAGAATCAAATAGGCTCAGACGGAAGGTGTCCAACTGAATCTACAGATAAAAAGGCTCATTCAGATTTTCTGCATATTTTGCCACACAGAGAAAGAGAAATCTCTGACTGCAAATTTAGGGGTGGATGAAATACCAAACAGTGCGATCTATTCTATCCTTCTATTAGCTTCCAAGTGTCCGTTGAGAGCCAACAAGAAACTATGGAAACAAACAAAAGAAGAATGAGTCGCCCAAGAAGTATGCAGGAGAAAGTGGAGATGGATTGGACACTCGCTGAGGAGGCCGCCGGGTGACATCGCGCGCGCGTCAGGCCATTGCTTGAGTGGAACCAGGTCGAAAGGGAAGCGGCGAGTTGGTCATCAGTGTGCAAAGGTCTGTCTCTCTGTTTTCGACATAGGACTTTGCACATATGTGCGGCAGTTCAAGTTGCCACACTCCATGTAGCACACAAAGCAAGAGAAGAAAGTACAAGAAAGGCATAATAGAGACAGTAAGCAGGGTGTGAGGCAAAGGAAGAGTGATAACGAAGAACAAAACAGTTTCATTGAAGATCATAAGTCACAAGGAGTGGATGCATCTGCGCCACTGAGAACGATTTTGAGCCATGTCACCAATTGTTTCCAACCATTTGTTTTTACCGTCCCGAGGACCCCAATCAGGAAGTCTACACCTTCCTACGTGTCTTCTACTAACTGCTGTAGATTTCATTGACTGGTGCTAAGTTTTTGTTTGACCGCCGCTAGCTTTTTTCCAGCCTGACCCTATATCCGCTAACATTGCTCGTCGAGGAAGGCGATGACTGGCCAGGCATACGTAACACATGTCCTAAACATCTCAGTGTTTGTATCTTCACAACTTCGTCGGTTGACTTCCCCTGTTTACCTAGTACTCTACGCCTAACCTCCATGTTGCTCACCTTATTATGCCACTTCACACGGGAGATAGAACGCAGGCACCTATGGTCAAAGACAGCTAATCTTTTCATGTCTTCCACTCTCAGTGGCCAGGTCTCACAGCAATCTACATTTTATAACTTAACAATGAAACATCCTACTACTACTACTGAATTTATGCCATTTCTATTTCTTTACCTTTCACCACCATTCACTTGGTGCGAAGATATGAAGTGCAGCACCTTAGAACAGTATACGATACGATGTTAGGTCCTTTGTTAATTATGAGCCTGACGTATTGAGAAAACTCAGAGGAGCCACAACCCTCGATGTAGATCGCCATCATGTCTCATCAAGAAGGACTACTGGTTGGTATACATGTCTTTCAATGGGTCACAGGATACCATGACTGCAATACAGATGATATAATTTGACAACTGCCAAAATGGGCTTTTTGCACTCTACAGACAGTTCGTCAGCAATAATCCCATGGAGTTTGGTGTAGCTTCCCAAATGTGTGAAGAAGTCAACACATTCAAATAATTCACTTCAAATTACTGAAACAGGAGTCAGCAAAGATCAGTCCTTTACATATGTTTCACATTTTACAAGGGTGGAACGCATAGAAAATCTCATATATTTTGCTATTTGTGTTTAAAATTGCTTGCATTTGTCGACATCTTTGCTCAAAATAAAAAAGGATCCTCTGTGTCGACCAAATAACCCCTGTACTTTTGATCAAACCAAACAAACTATGCAATAACTGGAAATGTAGCTTAAGCACTCGGTAGATTCGGTCAATGAACCCCAGTTTTCAACCCCGCTTCGCCTACATCAGCTTGAGCAGCTGAGTGTTACCACCGGCCACCACACAACACGTGTGTCACTCCTATCCTAGTTAACTGAAGTAACGTTCTAACTAGGGAATCTCACACGCAAGCCTATGGTCATTCAGCCAACCGAAACAACATAAACCAACAGATTAACGAGATTGAATGAAGATCAATCATGAAATGATGAAAAAATCATTATTCCGTTGCACATAGGAAAATAGGAAGTATTAGTCATTTACCATTTTTATATCATTTAATTCATGCATAAATTAAACTCACCTTAGCATTTCTAATCCAGTATCATCAATGCGAGAGCAACTTTCCAGAGACAGTGTGGTCAGAAGAGAACAATTTTTCCCCAGATAATCACAAGTCCCATTTGTTAAATTCTGACATCCTGATAAATCCAAACTTTCAATCATATGACAAAGTTGTGTAAAGCATCTGTGACGAGATGAAAAACCAAGAGATAGTGTAATTCCTACACAAGATATTCTATGCATTCTAAGTTATAACCCACCATCATCACTGATGTAATCAAATGGAGGTTAGTGTCTAACAATAACCGACAAAGTGAGAACATTTAGAATGATGGCATAATAACTACCAGCCTATTTGAATGCATGCAGACTTTAAAGACTGCATACAAAAGTCAGTGTGGTAATTAAACGTGGAAATGTTATTTAAAAAAGAAGCCCAGGTGTTGCAACCATCCCTTAAACTTGGCGTCCAAGCCTTTCTATGTAAAAAATTCGCACTTTTTCACACTAACGATAACGCTGGAGACACTTAAAGCTCCACAACTGCACCATCTAGTTTAACGAGCACAATGCCAAGTGCTTTGTGTGTTGAACGCATAATTCTCAGCAGATTAACTGCTGTAGCGGGTTTCCGTTCCACGAAACATAGAATCCAAAATGAAAACAAATTCGAAAGAAACACAACAATAAAAAAATGATTGATGGATGATTTAGGTAGAAAATTTTAGCGGAAGATTTATGAATACATGGAAATAATTGGACTTACTGTAAGGCTTCATCAGTCACATTTCTACAGCCCTTTAGTCTTAAGTCACGTAGAAAACCACGACTTCTTTGGGCGATCTTTTCAACTACTTTTGGCTAATTTTTTTATCGCATTAGGTAAGTGATAAACCTTACCTGTACATACCGCTGGAAGTCGAACAAGTTGATGCTTTTCCAGTTACTTCCATCGAAAGCGCACTCATACCAAAACTGTCAGGTATACGATACAGGAAAATCTACTTACTTTACAGACTTGGGAGCATTTGCATAAGGTAGTGATATCTAAGTAGGAGAACACCCTAGATTTTTTTAGATTGTTGCTTAACTGTTTACCTGATAATTAATTCCTTGGGTAATCTGTCATTAATACAGACATCGCTTTTATGATGTGAGTTAGTCTGAAAGAATGGGGATTTAATTCATTAAATTCACCTTTCCATTAGCTAAAACTGAACCATTTGCATTGAAGTAGTTTGGAAAGTTTTCCATTTTGCAGCACTCAAATAACTACCAAACCATATAAAATGGATTCCCCATTATTAAAATTGATTAGAAAATGCTTTAAAAGGCAGGCATTTGTACGCCCATCAAATAATAATTAATCCAAAGAGTAAGTGAGACATCCTCTAACAAACCCAATCAGCTGACTAGCTACTTTGAACGCCAAACAAAGAATTCGATAAAACAGAATACGTTCAATATTAAACTATCCAGTAATATTACTAGGAAACGGTTTACGGATGATCGTAATGACGTCTTATTTCATAATAATTGATAGCATTCTATTTCTAAAGGTTCTATCCACGCTTCTTAAACACTCAGCGAACTGGAGACTTTCATTTCCATTTACTCATGTATCTTACTGTAAATTTTGCCATAACCTGAAGTAAGTTAGTTCATTTTCACTGAATTACTGCGGTTTAAGAAGGCTTTTATTCAGTTTATTCCGTTTTGCAAGCTAACTGCGAAGTCGCCGATACCTTCCTACCTTATAAAATGTTAGATGACATAGGAAATACATATGTGGAGTCCTCAAAAATAAACTTATCCAAATTTTACTACTATGTAAGAAATGAACATATTGTACATCACTTTGTTTTAACCATAAACTCTGTACTTTGAACTTTACCTCGGGTTTTGAATAAATATATAGTTCTGCCTTCGACTCTCCGTCTTCTCCACCATCTCAACTGCCGTCGATCAATTTTAATCACCTGCTTTCTATCTCAAATTTTTGCAGGAGCACCGTAGTTCTTCCTACGTACTTTGGTCGACCTCCGGCAACGTCAACATTGGAGAATTAGTACTGGAGCAGTCTTCCCGCAGCACCTGGAGTCTATAACGTTTATTGTGGACTTTGGATCTTTGTAAACCCAAGTAACCAAACTTTAATACATTCTTCCCGTAACTAAACTGATTTGGTACTTTATTTTCTATTTGAATTTGGGTAACTAAGCTAACAGAGTAAAAGGTCCACCACAATAATTGGTGAGCCCGTTTCGAACCTTTTTTTATGGTTAACCCGTTTTCGAACCTTTTTGTTTCGATAGTTAACTCGTTTTGAATATTTTTGTTGCCATTTTGGCCTTATAAACTCGCATTGCTTTAATTTTTGTTACCACAAGTTTTGCTATTTTGTATATCTCTATACTAAATTTTTTTTGACAATGGCTCCATATAAACGTGTCACTTTTCCCGAAGAACTTCATAAAGGCGAAGTGATACAGAACTCTCCTGTTACCGCCTTGCCGGATTCCACATCTATGAAGGACGCACCAACGTTTTGGTTACTTTCCCAGTTAACATCTCAAATGCAAGACTTACGACTGGAAGTGTCCGAGCTTCGAGCACAAAGGAACCAGTCACATACGGTATCCAAGCAACGGCGATCAAGATCTAGACGACGTTCTAGAACACCGTCCCAAAGCCGTAACATTTGTTGGTATCATAGGAGGTATGGGCATAATGCCCTGAAGTGTCTTCGACCGTGTATGTACAACAGTAGTAACTCATCTCAGGGAAACTCCCCAGCCAGACAGTAATGGCGACGGCTGTTAATGGCAATCACCCCAGTCGCCTTTTCTATGTGAGGGATTTGACTACCGGCACATTATTCCTGGTAGATACAGGCGCCGAGGTCAGTGTTATTCCCCCCTCACTATCCAGGCGATCAGCCAAAATACCTGGAAAACTTTCACTCCGTGCTGCCAACCAAACCAACATACAGACGTATGGCGAACAGTCAATGATTTTAAACTTAGGACTACGCCGACGTTTCACATGGATCTTCATAGTAGCTGACGTACGTCACGCTATACTAGGTGCAGACTTCCTAAGTCACTTCAATCTGTTGGTTGATATCAGCAAGAAAAAACTGGTTGACAATTGCACCCAACTCAAGATCCACGGTATTACATGTGACTACTCTGTTCATAGCATCTGTATAGAAAAGCCGGAGAGTGAAATGTTCTCTGCTTTATTGCAACGATTTCCTAAAATCCTTAAACCATCATACAACGTCGAAGATATATCTCATACAGTTACGCATAAGATCATCACAACAGGACAACCTGTGAAGGCACGTCCACGACGGTTACCACCCGATAAACTAGCAGCAGCTAAGTCGGAATTCGAACATATGATGCAGCTAGGTATCATACGACCATCTAACAGTCCATGGTCTTCACCTTTGCATATGGTACCTAAAACTAATCATGACTGGCGACCATGTGGAGATTATCGCGCTTTGAATAACGCTACGGTCCCAGATCGTTATCCTATACCTCATCTCCACGACTTCTCCTTGACCTTACATGGAAAGACCATTTTTACTAAAGTTGACTTGGTCAGGGCATATCATCAAATACCAGTCGCTCCAGAAGACATTGCAAAAACAGCAATTATCACGCCTTTTGGATTATTCGAATTCTTGAGAATGCCTTTCGGACTAAAGAATGCTGCTCAAACATTTCAGCGTTTTATGGACCAAGTTACCCAAGGTCTTGATTTCGTCTTTGTATATATCGACGATGTCTTAATTGCCAGCTCATCGATGGAAGAACATATGCAACACTTAAGCTTGTTATTTCAAAGGTTTGAACAATTTGGAGTTGTTATCAATCCAAAGAAATGTATTTTTGGTTCCCCTTCCATTGAATTCTTAGGACATCGAATAACTGCCGAAGGCATCAGACCTACCGAAGATAAGATAAAAACTATTAAGAACTTTCCCGAACCTGATTCCTTAAAGAAACTTAGACGTTTTCTCGGGATGTTCAACTTCTACCGACGTTTTATTCCATCATGTGCCTCCATAGTTCAGCCACTGACCGACCTACTTAGATGCAATTCGAAGAAATTTCAGTGGTCTGAAGAAGCAAAAGCAGCATTTAATAATGCAAAAGATGCCTTATCCAACGTTGTAATGTTATCTCATATCAACCCAGAAGCTTCACTCATTTTATGTACAGATGCATCGCAGGTAGCAGTGGGAGCAGTTTTACAACAAAAGTTCAATAATGACATCACTCCACTTGCTTTCTTCTCCAAGAAGTTGGAACCTGCGCAAACTCGTTACAGTACCTTTGGCAGAGAACTGTTAGCCATCTACCTAGCAGTGAAACATTTCAGCTTCTTACTACAAGGTCGACATTTTACTATCTTAACCGACCATAAGCCTCTTTGTTATGCTTTCACCACTTCGTTGGACAGACACTCTCCGAGAGAAGCCAGACAACTGGATTACATCTCACAATTCTCAACAGACATCCAGTTCATCAAAGGAGATTCCAATATCGTAGCCGATTCCTTGTCTCGATGTGACGTTAATCACCTATCTTCGATAGATATTAGCTTAGACAATATTGCCAAGCTGCAGAAAAATGACGCCGAACTCCATACTTGTAGACGAAACTCCTCCCTACAGTTGCAGGATGTACCTATTCCCCTGTCTGATACAACTATCGTCTGCGACGTTTCAACGGGCGTTCATAGACCTTTTGTTCCACTAAGTTGTCGAAAACCTTTGTTTGAACATCTACATTCATTGTCTCATCCTGGAGTGCGTGCTACGGTCAAGTTAATCAGCGAGCGTTTTGTTTGGCCCAAGATGAACTCCGATATTCGGAAATGGGCCCGCCAATGCTTGCAATGTCAAAGATCCAAGGTACATCATCATACCGTCACACCTCCAAAACAGTTCAATTTACCGGATAAACGATTTCAACACGTTCATATAGATATTATTGGACCATTACCGCCATCCAGAGGATTTACTCATATACTTACCGCGATTGATCGATTTACCCGATGGGCTATTGCTTGTCCACTCAACGATATATCTGCAGAAAATATCGCTTTGGTTTTCTTAGATCGCTGGGTGTCAAACTACGGAGTACCCACAACTATTACAACAGACCGAGGAGCTCAATTTCAATCAACTCTGTTTCGAGAGTTTACGAGACTCCTTGGAGTGAACCATATCTCCACTACAGCTTATCATCCTGCAGCGAATGGTCTGGTGGAACGTTTCCATCGACAACTGAAAAGCTCGCTTATGGCACAAGCTGACTCATCTAAGTGGAGTGAACACCTACCATTAGTTCTTCTCAGTATCCGATCAACTGTAAAAGAAGATTTGGGATGTACACCAGCTCAACTTGTGTATGGTACTACCCTCACATTGCCTGGTCAGTTAGTTCCGTCTAATGATTCAACTGAAGTAAATATCTCCGACTTCACCAACCGCCTTACCCAGCAATGTTCCAGCTTCGACCAGTAGCCCCTCGCCAATCACTTCAGAAAGTTCAAGTTAATAAGAATCTACTCACTAGCAAATTTGTATTTGTTCGCGTCGATGCCATTAGAAAAGGTTTACAGCATCCATATGAAGGTCCTTTTCTAGTACTTAAACGCACCGATAAATACTTCACGCTGAACAAACATGGTAAACCGGAGACTGTTTCTATCGACCGTCTTAAACCAGCGTACACCGACAGCGAACATGAAACACTAGCAACGCCGATACCAATGAACAATCAGAAAGTCAATTCAACTCCAACTCTCCCGCTCTTCACTCTTCCCCCTGTACAGACACGCAGTGGACGGCAGATCTGTAAACCTGCCCGCTATGTTCATTTTATTGACTGACATAAACGTTAACCTCATTTAGACATTCTTCTCATTACTATTGTTGTCGAGATTCATTCCATTATAACCATTAATATTTATTAGTATTATTATTTGCTGTTCGTCAACTGTACTACAAGCACACGCATTCACCAAGTATATGTATATATCTATTTATATATGAATTTCACAAATGTTAACGAACATGTCATGGTTTATTATGTACATAAATTTTTTGTTTAAAATTATAACAAGTTTTGATTTTTTTAAAATTTCTGTATGTGCTTGTATGTGCTAAACTTTATACGACACGGACGCATTCCATACATCCTGATCTAACTTTGTATCCTTATTGTTGTTGT